GTATACAAATGTCAACAACATAGCAGAAATCAGGGAGCTTAGTTATCTAGTTGAGGAATCATCCTCCAATCCTGATGCCACGTTCCTCCTCACACAGCCCAGTCACCTGGATGATCTGTTCTGCATATATATTGAAAAGGTATAGAGATAAGTTGCATCCCTGGCACACACCTTTCTGACTTTGAATCGTGCAGTGTTTCCTTGTCTGTTCTGACGACTGCCTCTTGGTCCAAGTATAGGTTTCACATGAGCACAATCAAGTGTTCTGGGATTCCCATTCTTCTCAAAGTTAGCCACGGTTTGTTGTAATCTACACAGTCAAATGCCTTTGCATAGTAAATAAAACACAGATAAACATTCCTCTGGTACACTCTGCTTTTGGCTAAGATTCATCTAACATTGGAGATAATATCCCTAGTGCCATGGCCTCTTCTAAACCTAGCCTGCACATGTGGCAGTTCTCTGTTGATGTGCTGTTCCAGTTGTTTTTGGATAATTTTCTGCAGGATCTTGGATGCATGTGATATTGTTCCATAATTTCCACACTCTGTTAGGGCACCCTTTTTTTGGCATGGGAATAAATATGAATCTCTTCCAGTCAATTGACCAGGTGGTTGTCCTCCAGATTTCTTGGCACAACCTAGTGAACACATCCAGGGCAGCATCTGTTTCTTGAAGTATGTCAGTTGGTATGCTGTCAGTTCCTAGGGCCTTGTTGGTTTTTTGTTTTGTTTGTTTGTTTGTTTTGGGGGGGCCTTGTTTTTTGCCAGAGCAGCTTGAACTTCCTCCTTCATCACCATAGGCTCTTGATCATATGTTATTTCATTAAATTCTTCTGTGTCAGCCAGTTCTTTTAGGTATAGTGACTCTGTGTACTCCTTCCATCTTCTTTTGATGCTTCCACAGCATTGTTAAGTATTGCAGCTCAAGGCTTGAATTTGTTCTTCAGTTCCTTCAGCTTAAGAAATGCTGAGCGAGTTCATCCCTTTGAATTTTCCAACTCCAGCTCTTTGTACATGTCATTAATTCTTTGCTTTGTCTTCCCATGCTGCTCTTTGATATTTTCTGTTCAGGTTCTTAACATCTTCCCTTTGCTTTGGCTTCTTGGCACTCTAGGGCAATATTCAGAGTCTCTTCTGATATCCACCCTCAACAATTGTGTTATGTAGATGACGCAACCTTGCTTGCCAAAACCGAAGAGGGCCTGAGCCATTTGCTGCAGAAAGTCAAGAACTGCAGCCTTCAATATGGATTGAAGCACAACATTAAGAAAACAAAGATTCTCACCAGTGGGCCAATTGGTAGTATCATGATAGACAGAGAAGAGATTGAGATTGTTAACAGCTTCGCCTTGCTTGACTCTAAAATCAACACTCTTTATCCTGGTAACAAAAAAAGCAAAAGACAAATTGCATTAGGAAAAATCTTCTGTCAGGAATGTCACCAGATTTCTGAAGAGCAATAATGTCAGTCTAGAGACTAAAGTGTGCCTGATTCAGGCCATGGGCTTTGCAGTTACTTGCTATGTGTCAGAGAGCTGTACAATGACTGAGGATGGTAGAAGAAGAATCAGTATCTTTGAGTTGTGGTGCTGGAGAAATGTATTGAAAATACCATGGACTGCTAAGAGGACAAACAGGTCTCACCTGGAGAGAGTGAAACCAGGGTGCTCCTTGGAGGAAAGGACTTTGAAGCTCTATTTCACATACTTTGGGTATGTTGCCCGGAGGGACCAGTCCTTGGAGAATGACATCATGCTTGGAAGGGTGGAGGGACAGCACAAAAGAGGAAGACCCTGGATGAGATGAATTGCCAATGAAGTTGGCTCAGGATAGAGCAGGGTTCAGAGATGTTGTGCATAATATCACTATGAGTCCCTGGCAGCACATACAACAGCAGCAACAGTTATTTAGTAGGTAGCTCTGGTGGCCTAGTGGTAAGAAGCTGTGCTGCATTCTCGAAGGCACACTGTTCGAATCCAGCATCTGCTCTGCAAGGAAAAAAATGGACAGTCTCTTCCTGTGTGATTAACTGCCTCTGAAAACCTGCTAGGGGGTCAACTGTGGGTCAATTCCAATTCAAGAGTACATAACAACAACAAGGATACATAGTGCAGAAATAGCACTTCATAAATAGAAATTTGTTCTCTTAGCGTTTAAGAAGTTATCAATCCAGGGGAAGGTGTCCTCTCTCATGTTCTGGAGGAAGGCTCTTGTCCCCCCTTCAGTGTCTGCAGGCCCAGCATTCCTTAGAGATGTCCATATTTCTTGGTTCTCTTGTGTCAAGGAACTTTCCAGCACAAGGGTCAGGATTCAGAGGACACATTCCACTCCCAGTGATTCTCTGGTGATGCTATTTAGGTTACCTTGGTTTGCTTTTTATCTCTTGTGATTAAAAAAAAAAGGTTATAGGTCCCACCCCAGGGAAACTGCCTTTACAAAGAATCAAAGCTGTAATGGAGTGAAGGGTACCCCATCCTTAATCATCTTACAACTGAATTTTCAGACCCTGAAAGGGGGTCATTATAAAACTCCCATATGACATCATTGTTGTTACTGCTGTCGAGCACTATGGAGTCTAGACCCATAGCTGAGCCTCCAGTGGGTTTTCAGAGGAGACTGCCCATCCTTCTCCTGCAGAGCCATTGGTGGATTCGAACTGTGTGCCTTCAGGACTGCAGTGCAGCTTCTTACCACTCAGTCACTAGAGCTCCCTATCATTTTATACACATCTTTTGGAGTGACACAATTCAATTGACATAACACAAATGGCATGTTACTGTTATTATGAAGACAGTATTGGGTACCTTCACCCTCAGCACACCTACCAGGGTGCACCATCTTTTGACAAACACTGACCAAGTCTTATCTTCTCTTCCTAATAAGGAAATAAAGGCTAATAAGGACATTCTGGTATTAATGAAAGAACAAACCCCCATTTTTCCTGAAGACACTTCCTCATTTTTTTTAAAAAAAGAGTTACCTAGTTACAAAGTATATGCCAACAATACTGATGTTTTATCAATTCTGCAAAGAAAGGACAGAAGTTTGTACAAAAGGAATTTAGACATTATTTTGGAATTTTTTTTAGTCTTCCCATCACCTTTGTTAGATGGATATTATTATATTATCCCTTTTTTTCCTTTCCATTCATTCACTGTTGCACTTTTCTCCCTGCCTAACCTCCCCCACAGTTCGCTCTTCTCTTTGAAAAGTAAAAGAAAAAGTCTCCCTCCCCCCAAGTCCACTCCACTATGCAGCCTTCGTTTTGAAAAGTAAAAGAAAAATTCTTCCATTGTTATATAGTCATTCCTAATGTTCTTCACTGGCCTTGGTTTTAGAAACAGGCAGGATGGGATTGGGAAATTTATATTTTAAAAAATTATAAATTTATCACATTACTGTTGTTTTGAAAAAGATAAGTTTCTGATTAAAACCCTATTTTTAAAGCAGATATACTGTAAAAGTTTGTGACTTTTAAGTGGCAGCCTAAATAAATAAACTGAAATAAAACAGTTCCTGTTGAGTTCATTCTAACATGTGGGGACACTGTGGATGAGATGGATTGACTAAGCGACTGGAGTAATATGGGCAAGTGTGTTGGAGACAATGAGACTGACTCAGATTAGGGCAGGGTTCAGAGCTATTGTGTGTAGGGTCGCTGCGACTCGATGACACATAAAAACCGCATGTGTATAGAATAGAGCTGTGCCTCCCAAGGTTTTCAAGAACTAATTTTAAAGAAGTAGATCACCAGACCTTTCTTCCAATGCACCTAGCTGTATGTGTTCATGAACTTTCAGGTAGTCTGCTAGCACTTCAGTTACATGCTCAGGGACTCCAGCAGTCTCCTGTTGAGTGCTATCAAGTCAATGCCAGCTCACAGGGACCTTGTGTGACAGAGAGAACTGCCCTATATGGTTTGCGTTACAGGAGCAGATCACCAGGTCTCTTTCAAGTTAAACGGACAGAGCACTTACCCTTTGCACCATCAGGGCAACTCAGCAGTCTGCTTGTTATTGTGGTTGTGCGCAGTCAAGTCAGAACTGACCCAGAGTTGACCTGCCTGCAGGTTGCCAGAGACAGTAAATTGCATGGGAAGAGACAGCACATCCTTCTCCCGAGGGGTGGCCTGTGGATGCTAACCCAGTGAAGTAACTTGCCATTATGTCACCAAAGCTTATCGTGGTCTACCAGAGAGCTGCAAAGGGAATCTTATGTAAATGTCATTACTTCTCCAGCATCCATTAGAGGACAACTGGCATTTACAATCCCTCATTGGCAAAGGTTGTCAAAGAAGATCTTTTGTTTTAAACTAAAAACAGAATATATGGAACTCATTAGCCATTGCAGGATACTGACATAAGAGCACACAAACTGCAAAACACTGTCAAAAACCAAAAACAAAGACACTTCAACTCATTGTCATAAAGCCAGAACTAACCTCATAATTGCCCCTCGAGTGGGTTTTCAAGCCTGCGAATCACACAGGAGATTGCCCATCTTTCTCTCAACAACGTGGATTTGAACCACAAGCAGGTGTGGTCTTTGGGTGAGCAGCACAACTCCCTACAGATGATGGCATCACATACTATTGTAAATTCATTGCATCAGAATGGAAGGTGAACAGGTTTTGTGCCTGACAAAACCTGGACTTAAATCCAACCCTCACTGGTTTTATGGCCTCGCCAAACTACTCAGTTTCTACATACATAGACTGGCATGTTAATATCAAGAGATAATGGAGAAGTATAGGTGAGATAATAAGGCGAGATAATTGAGGACAATTTTAGAACTTTCTGGTAGAATTTAAGAGTCTTGATGCTGCAATGGATAATACATTGGGCTAACTGAAAGGTCACAACTTTGAACTCACTGATCATTCCATGTGAGAAAGGTGAGACAGAATGAGGCCATTCTGTCGTGTCTGAAAGGGATGTTAGGAATCACAATCAACTCTACAGCAGTAGGTGGTAGATAGAGAGTGAAGGAAGAATCAACATGGGTGAGTAGATACGCAGAATGTTATGCTTCCTACAATCAATTTTGTCATGAAGAGAAGAAAGAAGATAGAGTTCTAGATTGAAGATGAGACAGAACCCAATGACTGTATATTGTTGTTGTTGTTGATTGCCTTCGAGTCGAGCATGACTCATAGCAACCCCATGAACAAAAGGCCTGAAGCCCCTCTACAACTATTGACATTTATCAAAGTTCATAGAGTTTCCAGAGGCAGGTTGATATATTGTTACTGATTTATATTTTTATGCTCACCAAAAGTAAAGGAGAAAGAAAGCCAGTAATGTTGGGAGATACTGGTTCATTCATTTGTTGTTGTTGTTGTTATGAGCCTTCGAGTTTCCTGCAACTCATAGGGAACCTATGTACAGCAGCTCTGAACCCTTCACTGTCCTGAGCCAGTCTCACTGACTCCAACACACCAACCCCCATTGCTCTAGTTACTGTATCAATCCATCTTCTTTGGGGTCTTCCTCTCCTGTTGTCCCTTCACCCTTCCAAGCATAATGTCCTTCTCCAAGGATTGGTCCCTCCCAAAGTATGGAAGACAGAGCTCTAAAACCCATACCTCCAAGAAGAAACTTGGTGTCACCCTCTCCAAGACAGACATATTTGTTTTCTTTGTGCTCACTCATTTGATGTTGTTGTTATGTACTGTCAAGTTACCTGTGACTCATAAGGACCCTATGTACAACCACCCTAAATCCTGCTCTATCCTGTGCCCATCTTATTGTCTCTGAAATGCCTACCCCCATTTCCCCAGTGACTGAATCAAACCATCTCATCCGGGTCTTCCTCTCCTGCATTGTCCCAAGTATGATGTTCCTCTCCAAGGACCTGTCCTGCCTTGCAGTATGTCCAAAGTATGTCACATGAAACTTCAGAATCCTTGCCTCCAAGCAGCAGCCTGGTCTCACCCTCTCTAGGACAAGCCTGTTTGTTCCTGGCAATCCATGGTATATTCAATACTCTTCTCCAACACTACAGCTCAAAGGCATCAATTCTTCTTCTATCATCTCTAGCCATTGTCCATCTCTCTGATAAATAGCAAGTGATTGCAAAGACCATGGCCTGTAACAGGTGCACCTTAGTCTCCAGACTGTCATCATTGCTCTTCAGTACTTTAGAGAGGTCTCTGCCAGCAGACTTTCACAACTCATTTAGTAAATAATTTATTGCATGATTTTAATGCAAAAGACCTTGATCTAGAGACTAAGATCCTAGCGGTAACCAAAATGGCCCTACTTTCTAGAGCTTACATTCTTATCAGGAAGAGATAGATAACGAATCAATATCCTTACAAATGTAATTGTTTGGAGGAAAGAACATTGTAACAGAAAGAAGACTGTAAGTGATCATATGCTGTAGAGGGTCTACAGTTAAGAGAGGGTGGTCAGAGAAGGCCTCCCAGTGAGGTCAGGAAGCTCACAAATGGTGCAGGACTGATCCCTGAGGCCCTGGGAGGGGCCTAGAATGAAGTGTGTAGTCCTGGACTATGGTTTAGGAACACTCTACTTCCTTCTGTAATGCACATATTTTTTTAATATTTTCAGGAACCTAATGTTTTTATATTTTAATATTTCAGGAATTGAGAGGTATGAGTTGTATAGTCAAAGTGATAGTGCTTCACTCTCCTTTGCTTCCCTCCCAGGCGAGATTTTCCACATTTGTATTCTGTCTTATAAACAAAGACGGGAGAATTCACAAGTAGAAAAAGGGCCGTAAGTAAGAGTCTACTTGATAGCCTCTCTTTATTCCTTGAGACCAGTGCTAAAAATCATGGTGTTGAGGTAGTGGGGTGTGCTGTGATGGGTGAAAGCTGGTGAGGAATTGAAGGGGAGATGATGTTGTTGTGGTGGTGGTGGTGGTGGTTGTTGTTGTTGTTGTTAGGTGCCTTTGAGTCAAATACAATTCACAGCAATTGTAGAACCTTATCTGAACATGATCCTGTGCTGTGCCAAGCTCATCATCTTGGACACACTTGAACCCATTGCTGCTGTCACCATGTCAGTCCTTCTCATTGAAGGTCTTCCTCTCTTTCACTGATTTTTGGCCTTTTCTAGCTTGATGTTTCTTCCCAAAGAATAGCTTCTCCTAGCAACATGGCCAAAGTATGTGAGACAAAATTTAACCATCTGTGCCTCCAAGGAGCACTCTGGCTGCGCTTTTCCCCAGACAAGTCTGTTATTTTGGCAGTCCTGTACTCTGCTCCAACATCACAACTCAAAGGCATCACTTCTTCTTCTGTCCTCCTTATTCATTGTCCAGCTCTCAGATGCATACCAAGTGATTGAAAAGACCATGGCCCAAATCAGGTGCACCTTAGTCTTCAAACTGACCTCATTGCTCATCAGTAATTTGGAGAGGTCCCTGAGTGAATTTTCCCACTATAATAGGTCTTCTGCTTTCCTGAATGTGGAAGTTGTTGTTGTTGTTGTTGTTGTTAAGTGTCATCGAGTCATAGGCAACTCATAGCGACCCTATAAATGAAAGTCCTGGACACCTGTATAACTTTCGTCCTTTCTCTAGGTTCATAGGGTTTCCAGAGGCAAGTTATACCAAGGCTTATTGTTTGTGGATCAAAGTAAGATGAATAGTTGCATGTAGTTGGCAATTTCAGTCTTTTCTCTATCATGATGCTGTTTATTGGTCCAGTGGTGAAGATTTTTGTCTTCTTGATGTTGATATACAGTCCACACTGAAGGCTATAGTCCTTAATCTGCCTCACACACTTCAGGCCCTCCTCACTTTGAGCAAAGTTATATCATCTGCATAATGTATGTTGTTGATGAGTCTTCGTTCTATTCTGATGCCATTTTATTCTTCATAGAGTCCAGCTTCTGTTAGATACCATTAAATAGTTAGTGGAATAGGTCTATAGTTTGAGACAGTGGTGTGCTGTTAATTGACTCCACGTCATAGCGACCCTATAAGTTAGAATGGTGCTGTCTTACAAGGTTTCCAAGCCTGAAGTCTTTATAGGAGCAAATGGCAGGTACTTTCTGTTACAGAGTCTTTGAGGAGGTCATTCCAGTGATCTTTGGCTGAGTAGCCAGGTGCTTGACCATTATATCAATCAAGGCTTCCTTGATTCAAGACTCAAAAACTCAAAACTCATTGCTTTCCTGTCAGAACCAATGCCTGGCTGACCCTCCAACAGGTTTCAGAGCCTGTAAATCACAAGAGAGGAGATTGCCCATCTTTCTCCTGTGCAGTAGATCCCAGCACCCGCCCTTAGAGTTGGCAGTGCAGCTCCTTGCCCACTGGGCTGTTGGAGCTACATTAAAATCTGCAGCATGGAGCAGTTGCTGCATTTTCCCAGCACCAGATAATGAGAGAGAAGAGAATAGAGCACAGATTGGGAGTCTGTCAAGTAAGCACTCTTGGAAGACTGCAGGCGAGTGAGTCAGTGATATGCTGGGAGTATAAAGTCATCAGTCATGAAACCAAGTTGTTTTTATGTGTTGGTGACTTGACTAGAACGCCTAGCAGTCATACAACCAACAGGTTGAAACCTTCCCCTCTCTTGTGCCATCCTCACAATCTCTGTCATGATCACACCTCCTGGTCTATCTCTCTGAGGATCTTCCCCAACAAGGAACCAGGAGCACATACATAAATACACATATGCACAGACATGCATACCTTGGAGGAAAAGAAAACGCCAGTGGACTGCACAATCACTCTGTCTTTTCAGAGCAAAACAGAGTGTTAACTCTTAAATATTCATGACCAGTGGATAAGAGTAAATATCCTCTTCTCCTTGGTTTGTCGTTGTCATCTAAAGGGCAGTGATATTGATAGAGCCAGGCTGAATTCAAAGGAAACACAATTCCAAGTTATCCCCACAGATTTCAGACTGATAGTTTTGCTCTTTGCACTGGCTTAGATGAGACCTTGGTTATACACACTGTACTCCAGCGTCTGAAGATGTACCCTAACTCACGCCCAGCTGATGTGGCCAGTGCCACCATCGTTACCACCACACGTCCAAGTTACTCCAGTACCTGGGGGTGATACTTCACCTTCTGTCTCTCCAGAGCTCCTTCCAAGCATCAGGGTTTTGTAGTTCGTCTGTGTTAAGGGGCAGGTGTGCCTTGTTAAATAAAGATGTCACGGAGAAGACCTACCAAGCAGAAGAGTGAGGGAATCACTATACCCTTAATCAGGAAGTCCCATCCTTTAGAAACTGCCTGGCAGTCCAGCGCTGTGCATTTGTACTCACAAATCGTGAATGATCAGATAGAAAAGCTGAGGTATAGAAAAAACTTGCAGGGGAAAAAAATGGTATAAATCACTGAGCTCAAGATGAATCAGCAGTGGAGAGGAATAAAGCAACTGAAAAGCTCTAAAGCCTTGGAACAATTATTTCACTTTTCTTTTTATTTTCTTTATTTGAGTAGAAGTTAGCAAAGTCATATTGGTTTTCATTTAATCATTCTTAACATGTTTTGTTTCATAACGTTAATTACAATTGATTAATATCATTAATCACAGTGTCTCATCAAGCCTTCATTGTAGATTTTCTTTCTCTTCACCCAACTTAGCTATTGATTAATTTTTGCTCCTTGAAAGATCTTTTGCACATTGCTCAAAAAATGCCCCTCTGATGTAAAATAAGATTACTTTGGAAATCATAATATAAAAATATCTTTGTGATTCTGATCCCTTGCTTTTTGGCTACCCTGTTACTAAAGCCTTCTGATCTTTGCTACATTAGTTTCATAATCATGGTATTTTGACCAAAGGCAGGAATGTTCCAGACTTGTGGATAGAAGTTGTTCCCTAGTATGATTGTGCCAACTGCCTGCACATTCTAACTCTGAAACTTTATCTTTTGGTTTTTCCCTCTGAAGGAAAAGGGCTTCCTCCCCAGCTGTCATCTTGTTAGACATCCCAGATCCTTTACTTTTCCTACTGTTCAAAAGGCCAGAGGTTTGACCCACCAGCTGCTCTGCAGAAAAAGAATGAGACAATCTCCCATTA